ATTTACAATGTGAATTTTCGACAATTCAGTATAATTCTAAATAATTTCAACTGATGTTCTCACAATCCGAATACTTTAAGATTATAGAGTATTTATATACTCAGAAAGTCATGTTTATATACTATGTGCAAACATTTGCCATATACCAAATTTATCTTTTGCAAATAACTTTATATAATTTCACACAAAAGAAAATTTTTGAAGCCAGCATTGCTATGCTTAGAAAAACATTCGCATACGTCACAAAACACACAGTTCAACCTAATTTCTGGTAATGAATAATGTTATTTCCAATTTTTCTCAAAAAAAAGAAAAATTCTTTTTTTTAATTTACTAACTTTGCAATTATCAGTAGCAGAATGTGTAATTATTTTTAGTATTATTTTTAGATTTACTTCGTCACAATGTTTAACTATTTTTGGCAACAAAAATTTAAATTCTTAATTACATTTTTTTAAATATGAAAAGTCAATCCAAAGTTTTGAAGATTTGTTTTTGTGTTTTTTACGCTTTATTTTTTAAAGAAATGATTTTTAGCCAAAGCAAAACCTTCAAAAGTTATTAAATAGTAATTGATTTGTAGCGCCATATTCAAATTTGATACGCATTAATTTAGTAAATGAGTTATTAGTATAAATAATTTAATGGTAAGGAGTATAAGAATTTGTGCGACGAACTCTTTTCTCTTTTTATTTTTCAGAATCTCACAGTTTTAAAATAATAAGTGCAAAGTTACTCTTAAATTGATGAAAAACTGAAATTCTCAATGTTTTGACGATATAAATAATTCTGTAGCCAAGTAATGCTGAAATTATCTAATGAGATTTTTGGACTTACCAAATCCTTCACATAGAAATTACTTAACTACAATGACAAAACGGGTTTTTACAGTTATTAAATAGTGCAAAAGCTATACTTTGCGCAAATAATTGGTCAAATGTGCTAACATTTAATTACATCTTTAATTTTTGAGATGATACTTTCAATACTTGTAATTACTTTCACTCAGTAGCCGACAATTTTTAATAACTGTTGTAGACATTCAAATTGGCACATTTGAGAGATACTTTTGTTGAATTGTAGTCTTTAGCGTTAATATATTTTTATTCTCCAAAAACTTATTAATTATTTCTATTTTCATAAACACAAGAATCCAATTTATTCTGTTTACAATAATGTAATTTATATTTTTGTACGTGAAGCTAACCATATTTTTGCATTTCATACTTCACAATTTTTTTAATATTCAAATTATAGAACAGCTTTGTAGTTGACGAACTAATTCCCTGTACAATTTCCATATATTTTTAGACAATGTGCAAATAGCACCTCCTCCTCGTTTTGTTTGTGAATCCTAAATTATTAAAATTAAGATTTTTTTTCATATATAATTACCAAGCTTATCTTTACCAAAGGTTATTACTATGTGAATGGTTTTTAGTGTCCCACTCAAGTTTTATAAGCATAAAATCTAATTAGTACTTTTTAAGCAAAAAAATTAGAATTTTTTAGAAGTAATTACTTGTCTGTTAATGTCAGCAATGCAAACAACAGGTAATGATTCGTTGTCACCCACAGCCCACTTTGAATGGTCAGCAGAATTATTAAAAGTCTTGCCCTCAATTTTAACTTGTTCTATGTTTATTACCTGAAAAATATTACTTTTTGATAGTTTTTACTTTGATTAAAAGTTTCATAAGAAAGAATAAAAAATCTACTTCAGTTTAAAAATTGTGTCTGAATTAAGTATATTTTTCTGAATTCAATTATTTTCAGATTAAAAATCGGCAATCACATGATACTAATAAATTTATTAAATATATTTTTCAACAAATATTTGTTGAGTTAATGATTACGCTAACCATTTATGTATTATTTTGGTATTTAGTGCCAAAAATGAGATCATATCAATTTTCTGTAATTATTATTAAATATAAGATAGGGACATATTGAGTTTTAAAAAGGAATCATTATCATATATAATATAGAAAAAATTTTGTTAAAGTTACTTTATATTGACTATTACAATCAGAAGGTAAATCCACAGCACCGCCATTTAGCCATGTTTCAGCAAAAAGAGATGATTTTAAATCAACTGCGATTAAATTTGCATAAAGGTCTGAAGTTTTAATAATTATATTAACATTAATGAAGCAAATATATTATTTTAATTTTATATTAAAACACATCTTACTGTTCAAGCATAATCTCAACATATAATTTCCTGGTCTATAAGTCATATTTCTGGTTCTTGAAATATTTAAGATAAGATTATCATAAAAGTTTGCCCTACAGACTTTGAAAACTTGGAGTTTTTTTTGGATTATGCATAATAATAGTTTGAATTTATATTGCTCATACGTGTAAAATAGTTTGATTACACATAATATGTTAATTATCTCATAAGTTTAGCAATTTCAAATACTTACCACTTCCGAATTTTCCATTTTTTGAGAAGCTGATAAAACTTTCTCCACCTTTTGATAAAAACTTTTGCACTAATGAATTATTTGAAAGTTTAGGAATGTTTTTTTTTCTTTCCAGCATTTTTTTGAGAATAGCATATTCGGTTTTAAGATAATCAGGTATACGTTCATTATAGATATTTGGTTGAATATATTTCATAGCCTCTACTAAAAATACTAATATTTCTGAGATTTTTGCTCACACGTGAATAATAAGTAGGGAAAAAAACGAATAAAACGAAGCAGGAGAAGACAGAAAAAACAAAGAAGAAAACGAAGCGAAAATATTAATTTTGCTTAAATCAAAATAGAAAATAATTTTGACAAAAATAAAGTTTTCATAATTTTCTATATTTCACTGATAAACCTTTTCTCCGTTAAATAATACTTTTTCCATTGATTAGCAATAATTATTTTGATTCGCTAGAAGGAAAATTTATGATAAGTTTTACTTATATATATACTATATTTAGAGACTTACGTATGACCCTTACTGATTTGGTGTTCATTGACACACACAAAAAGGATTGTCCATATACCTCACCATTTTTTACATAATAATATTTGCTAATTGATGGGAATTGTGGCACACTATGAACAAGCCAAAAACCTGATTGTCCTCCGAACAGAGCAACGCCTTTTGCGTGACCTTTATGGGAGCGTTTGCTTTTTTTAGCTTCAAACTGATCATTGTAAAATATATAAAATATTTCCTGCAAATGATATTATTTTTTGTGAAAAGCACTCATGACTCATTTATGACTCCTAAAAATTAATAAATTTTTATTTCATTTTGGTTTTAAAGCATGAACGTATAGCTTTCAGAAGCTTTTTATCGTTATTAATTTAAATATTTTAACGCTCACGAGTCTTCATCAGTCAGTGATTTCTAAAAATAAACATGTACATATATTGATACCACCAAATTAAATTACCTTAAACGAAATAAACTTTCATATTGTGACTATATTCTATTCTATTATTAGTTACTATTGACATTTTAATTCTATTATCAAATAAAAAAGTGTAACTTGACTTTACCTTTTGTCTTTTGTTATCATAGTACTGTTGGAGAGTTGTTGATACAGCACACTTCGAAGAATTTATATTCTCTTCTTCCCCCCAATTTTCTGATCTACTGTCCACGTAAAGAAACGACGTGCCTGGATATTCCTGTGATACTTTTTTAGGAAGTTTATATCCAAAAAACCTGAAACATTTTTACTTTCATTGATCATACTAGTTTTTGAATTGATTCATTACTGTTTTTGCATATGCATAAAATGTAAATGAATCCTTATTATGCAATTTTATCGTTTTACAAACTTTATAAGAACTTCATTTTGATTTTGAATTATTTAACTAATATGAATCGCATAAGTCAGAATTTTGACTAGTACTATCTAATACCATTGAGTTTAATAATGGGATTTTAAAAGTTGACTGGATTATTACAGGGCCAAGACTAACTATTCAATGAATACATAATGATATTCATTATGGCATAACTACGTTACTATATGAAAATGGTACTAAGCTGAAAAACGAACCAATCAACAGATTGTCCATCGCGATTTTTGCATGAAAATTGACATTGTATGACGCAAATTTTTCCAACAAAAATTAAAACTAATAATTTGATAGAATAATACATTTTGTTCTGTAAGGGATTATCGTATCATTCATTTAAATTTTTTAAAATCATTACATTAGTATTAACTTTTTTTTCAATTTTTTTACAATAAAATGTACACATACACTAAAATAAGAAAGCATTTTATTATCAGTAAATTAATTTACTTGCATTTTATATTATTTATTAACCAATACAAACTTATATTTCAATTTATTTAGCAAAGTTTCAATACTAACAATATTCAGTCTTGAAGATATTCAAATTTAACAGAATTGTGCTCATAAAACTTAATGTTAATGAATAATTTGATCGCTTATAAAGCAAAGAAATGTTTTCATTTAAAAACCTAAAACAGTACTTCGTGTGCCACTTTTTAGTTCAAACATTTCAATAAAGTCGCCTGTGCAAATACACATTTTTGTTTAAATTTAAAGAATCACTGATCAGCACTGATTAAATTTGAATTTTTTGCTTAACGCACTAAAATATAATTAAGCACAAAAAATATGAAAGCAATCTCATTAATAAAGTTATGCTTTTTTTCCTTACTTTAGTATTTACTTTGGTCTCTTTTAGCATTCACAAAAATTGCTTGCTTGAATTATTGACTCATTCGAGCTGAACTGTACAAATTATCACTGATAAGAACATAATTTAGCACTATTTTGTTTTCATAGCCATTTATTATTGAATTGAGTACTTTTAAATATAAATAATCTAAAGCTGTCATTAAATTTCACATAATTTGTCAGCTTTAATTTAAAAATTTATTTTTTATATACATTTAGTTCATCAAATTCTGTGAAATTTTAAAAAAATGTAAATAAATGAAAGCTATAGATTTGCATTGTTTGAAATGCTAAATTCATTATTTATTTTGTTAGAAAATTTTTGATATAAAATTTAAAACTATTATTTTTTTAACGATTTTTTATAAACATTCAAAAATTTATTAATATTTAAAAATAATGTCAACAAAAATGAGATTTTTTGTGAAATGAAAGTATACTTTTAAGATTTTTTGTCGACTAAAATGAAACCATACTTTTGAAATTTATTTTTTGACTTTTTTGAAATAAAAAAATGGTAATTTGTTAAAATAATCAAGATAATCTGCATCTTTTTTTGAAGAAATTTGAATCATCTTTTGAAATATAATTTTCACTGTTTTCATTTCGAGTCAAAATTAAGAATCAATTTATTCTTATTTAGCATCAAGTGAATTGAAGTACAAATTGTTGCTGTCCTCTTCCTTCACTTATCCATTTCAGATTAATTAACTGTAAAAATTCAAAGAACTTAGGCGGAATCGGTAATTGAGCAAGAAATTGATTAATTTTTGTAATTTTATCATGAAATTCAAGTAATTGCTGATAACAGTGACAAATATTGGCAATTTTTTTCTGTTTTCATCGCAAACAGAAAAAACTTATTATTGAATTTGTTTTATTTAATTTTAAGTGCCATTCAAGTCAATAGTACTACTGATCAGACTGACCTGAAAAATTAAGATATAACAGTAATTTCATTTTACGCTCCTTTGAGCACCAATTAACAGAATGTATTTACTTAAATAATGAAAGCTTGCAAAAAATAAAA